TTCAAAATTCTCATGTATGTTTTTAAATCACTGAACAGTTCCGCCCCATCCTATCTCACTGATCTTCTGCAGCCATATGTCCCACCGCGCTCTCTGAGGTCAGCAGACCAGATGCTTCTCTCAGTCCCAGAAACCCGTCGTAAGCTCAGAGGTGACAGGGCTTTCTCTGTTGCAGGTCCACGACTGTGGAATGAGTTGCCACTGAGTGTCCGGCAGGCTCCCACACTCTCAGTCTTTAAGTCTCGCTTGAAGACCCACTTCTATTCTCTTGCCTTTAACACGGTGTGATTTGTTTTGGTCCGGTCTGTTCTCTACTCTGTTGGCCATTTTAGTTAGCTTCTGCTGCTATTTGTATCTGTATTTCTATTTTATGTTTTCCTGTCCGCTGTGCATGTTTGTGTTCTTTTGTACAGCACTTTGGTTGGCCTTGTTGCTGTTTTAAGTGCTATATAAATAAATTGGTATGGTATGGTAATGTGACTTATCTGTCTAAATAAAGGAATGAATGAATGAAGTAAACACATGCACATGACGATTCACAGTGCAAATTTAACAAGAAAACACCTAAAAACAATTGTTTGCCTGAAATTATAATAAATGTGTGTCTTGGTCCAACGTTTACTTAAAAAAGGCACTTTAATGGTCAAATAAGCTGAATTTCAAAAATAATTTTGCTGCCTTGGTTGTCCGGGAGAGCGCAGGGGGAGGAAATCAGGAAGGAGGAACGCTGGTTGTTTCTTCAAAATTAAACTAGAAAAGCACCTAAACAATTATTTGTTTGCTCAAAATTATAGCAAAGGTGTGTCTCAGTCCAACGTTTACTTAGAAAATGCACTTTAATGGTCAAATTAGCTGCATTTTGCCGGGGTGGTGCAGCTGTTTTAACTTGCTCCAAGCAGCAAGCAGAAAAAAGGTGGGGGTTGTATGCAAGGCTGATTGTGTCATTAATAGCTGGTGAAGATTTTCAGTCATCTAGGACATGGTAAATTCAAAAAAGTTTATTCAAGAAAAAAACAATAAAGTATGAAGTATGATAAAGTCCAGTTGTTTTTGTCTTGAACTTTTTTGAATTTGTCATAATAGCCACATTTACCTATTACACGATACAACGGCATGCCATACTGCTACTACTACTCTGCTACCATCAAGTGGCTGAAAGTGGTACTGCTCTTTTTTTCAGTCAGAATGAATGAAAATGGTCATATCTCAGCCAAAAATTGATTTATAAATATGGGGAAAATAAATCCATAAATATGTCGCTTCAGCCTATAAGTTGCAGGGCATGCAAATTATGCAAAAAAGGGTGACTTATAGGCCAAAAAATATGGTAGTTTGGTTTGTAGGACTGTTGGTTGGTTATTTGGTTAGTTGATTGGCTGCTTGTTTGGTTGGATGGTTGATTAAAGAGTTCACATATTTATGGTTTGGTTTGATCTACCAAACAATAAAATGTACAGAAATGGGTAGAACTGCTGCTGCTGTTTTAGTAAAACGCTGGCTGCCTGGCAGTAACCATCAGGCATATGCTTGTTCAGGTGGGGGATGGTTCTGTTTGCAAGGTTCAGTTGTGTATGTGACTTTATTCAGTAGAACCTGATGACTCTGTTCAACTATATCAAACAGAACCCTAAGAACCCTCAGCAGTGCTGTCATCATAGGACCATGTTTACCCGTCTTTGAGGAAAACAGACAGAACCTCTCGCAGGTCGAGGACGTCGCAGGCAGCAGAATCATTTTCTACTGAGAAGAGAAAACGATCTTCCTCCAGTTTACCATGAAGCTCCTCATCTTCCTCAGCTGCACACACAGGAAAAACACACATTGTTTCAGAGGCAGGAGGGAACGGCTGATTGTTGTTTCAGCCCACTGAAGTAAATCAGACTCCAACAACTCATGAGAACATTTGACTTCAGTGAAGAACTTGACAAACACATCTAGATGGAGGTGAATGACCTGAGTTTCTGAAGACAGAGGTGAAAAGAAGCATCTTAAACACAAAGTGTTCAAGTATGAAACTGCAGGGAACGCCAGAAACATTTTTAAATTAATTTATTTGTTTAAAATGACAGTCACCATTATTAAAATTACAAAAATATAAATGTGCCTGAATTAGCACAATAGCTAAAATTCATCTGTTGTCTGAGTAGATAGAAAAATAGCAGTTCAACAAACAAGTGCACAAAACAAACAACAATCGATTAAAACAATCCATAAAAATAAAACACACAAATATTACACTCTATAAAATACAATAGTCCCTCGTTTATGTCAGGGGTTTTCATACCCTGCCCCCCGCGAGAAGTGAAAAACCATGAAGTAGGAATAGTTGTACAAGTAGTAAGTAGTAGTTTATTTCAGTATATATATATGTATATATATATATATATATATATATATATATATAT